GGGAAGGGGGACAGGTGGGTGCCTTGTCACATCAAGCGCTGCCTTCAGGTGCAGCAGTGCTCTCTCAGGCCCTTGCAGACCGCTCTGTGGTAAACTCGAGTGCAGCGTAAAGCATTGATCTCGGGTGTGCGTGCCTCTCTCGGGATGACACAAAGTTATTTGTGGGTGTTGCTCAATTAAATAATCAAGTGAGGTCAGAAACTGCCCCAAATTGGTGTGTGTCTCTCTTGACACACACACCTGTGTTCAGGAGATGAAGTGCTTGCTTTGGAGGCGTTTTATATGAAATACTTATCTACAAGACTGTGGGAATGAAGGAGGAAGTAAACCCTAAGGTACGTACAAATTATCATAAAACAGCAAAAAGGAATTTAAAAAATGCACTTTTTAAATCAGATGAGGCACCTTGTCTATGGATGGTGAAAAAAATCTATCGCAATGTGTAACTTCCAGTTAATCATCTTGTCAGCTGCAACTCAAAAAGGAAGCAATCTGAAAGCTTCCTTCTTGTGTGGCTTTGAGCTATTCAAGTTTGTTGTCATTCTTACTGAATTTTGTGTGCCTATAAAAAGCTTTTTTTTTTTTCTTCCCATGGGTTCTGTAGGTTTGTGTAAGTTGATGGCGTGACAGGCTTTTCTGTCTTGCTTTCTGGATTTGTTAGCTTGGTTTCCTACAGTAATGATATTCTGTGATTATTAGGATTTCTAAGTAAGTGCTCACACTGAATGCATCTCTATTTTTTTTTTATTAGTAGTAGTAGTAGAAATATTGAAAGTGCTAAATATCTACAGTTCATTAAGAAATAAGGTTTCCTCCCCCATGAATTCTGGAGTTTAGGAAAGCTGATACAGATGGGGTTCTGGTCTGTGCCTGTGCTTTCCAGGGAGTATCCTAACATAAATAGAAGAGAAGGGTATAAACGTCTGATACTTAAGAATATTCCCCTGTCTCGTAGTATTCCTCTATCTTGCCGTGTCAGCACTGCTGCTACAGAAAGAAGGATAATCAGTGGGTTTAAAATAGGGACTTGCTGAATCTAAACAAAAGTTCATCTCGCAATTGGATTTCCCTTTTGGCCATAGCTTTTCCAAAAGATCTCATCAAGGTTGCATGGTAATAATTTGCCAGCCTTTCCAGCATAGTTTTGTAAGCAACACAATTATTGTTGTCTAAACTTAGTTCGCTGCCTAAGGAATGTAAATTATCTGTTAAAACGGTAGAGGAATTTACAATACAGGTGGTGCACCAGGGATGCAAGATGAAAGTTCAGGGAAGCAGGATAAAAAGATTAGCCCTTTATCAGGGCTGGTGTTTGATAATGTTTTATGTAAAGTCTGTAAAATACTAAATATATTGTGGGATGCTAGCCAAAGCAGTAAACATTCTGAAGAGTATCAGATAAATATGTTACTTCCTGAGCAGCAGCAGTAGTTAATTTTCAAACAAATAGAATCTATGTAAAAAACTGTGGCTGTGCGTGCTGATGTACGCCACTGCCCTCTTACGGATGAAGTGTTTGTCTCAGGGTGGCTGGAATAGTCTGATGCCAGGGCTGAAAGGAACAGAATTGCGATTACCTTGGAGGATTTTTTCATTCTCGCGTCCAGCCACAAGCAGGGAACTGCACACTTTGCACATTTTTACACGAGGAGACCTCCCTTCTTGAAACCATTCTGTTCTTACGTACAGTTCATTAGTTCCTTGCACAACTTTTACTACGTAATGGATGCAAAGGAGAGATTGCACAGGGCAGAGAACCATTAAAAACACAGATTTGAAGGAAGAGGCCCTCCAGTTACTCAAATCCCTGGATTTCTACGATTGTAATGTCTAATCTGTTCATATTTGTGAAAATATATTTTACACATTTTTTGTGTAATAAATTATATTTCTGAAGTTGGTTTTCAGGCACAAACTTTTTTTTTCTCCAGTGTATGCTGTTTCTCTTCATCTGGAAGCCATTGGGTAAAGGAAGAAGCAAAGGGCAATAGGCAGAACAGCAAAAGACAGTATGTCAGTAGCAGAACTGGTAACGCCTGGTTTCCTTCTTTTTTCTGTGTTCTGTGTCCAGTATCCTCGGTGCAATAAACCCACTATGTCCTCTGTACTCCTCCTTCCCTTTTGCCGATACCTTCTTTTTCTTCTGTGGGCCAACCAACCTACAGGCCTCCCCCATGTCTTCAGCCCTCTCTGCCAAAACAATCATACTTTCTATTCCTCCCCAAACCCTACTGCAATAATTCCTGTTTCTATCACATTTCCAAGTATCCTTAGTTTTTCCTCTGTCTTTAGAATGCAAGGCAGCGCATACTGTGCCTGGCTTTGAGCAACACTGGCTAATTGGTCAGTTGGCAGGCTAACAAGAAGAGATAACGACCTCTGCTGCACCCTTTTCTCTAGGGGGGACATTAAATTTTAGATCTTTTCTGGATATGACCACTGTTTTCCGTAAAACCTATAGAATCTTAATACCTTTACAAATATTCTGTCAGGTTTTGCCAACAAATTATAAATAATTGGGAAGAGGGGCTGACAGATGTAGTCTATAATCATTTACATCTAGTTCCTTAGGAAATTTAACTAAGAAGCAAGAGACATTTCAGAATAGGATTCCACTTGTTAGCATGCAGATCTTTTGAAACATACAGACATTTGTTAACTAATGCACGAAAGAGCAAAAGCATTAAATGCACTAAAATACACTAATGCACTGAAAAACAACCAGGTCCAGTCTCCATTCTAATACTACAAAATGTCCCTGAAGATTGTGACCCTGATGGCAGGATAACCCGCCTGCCTGAAACAGTCACATTAGCAGTCTGTATATTTAGATTCATAAAACAAAACTGAGTGAG